AAGGCCTCATTTACATAGGATGCTTTAAATATTGGCTCCCCTTTTCTTTTTGTTTTCCTCTTTTGTTCATGACAAAGTTACCAATGTGCACATCAGCCTTTTCTCTGGCTCTACATCTGCTGCCTACACCTTAAATATTAGGCTAACTAGGGTTCAGGTCCAAACTCTCACCTCTTCTCTTTTTACATACTTTTGCTGGACACACTTTTGCCTCCCATGCTTAATGCAGATTTCTCTCCTCCATTCTAAACCTATACCTCATCTAGTTTATGTTTTCATATGGGGTTAATTTTGGTGAAAGATATAACACCTACTAGTAGATTTAATTTTTGTATGTGCATATCAAGTTTTTCCGTACCATTTGTTGAAAAGACCATCTTTGCTTCATTGTATTGCCACTCTCTTGTGACCATCTTTGCTTCATTGTATTGCCTTTACTCTCTTGTCAAAAATTAGCTGAATATAATTTTTTGGGCATATTTCTTGGCCCTTTATTTTGTTCCATTGGTCTATTTATGTGTTCTTTTGCCAATACCACCTAGAAAGCTGACAGTGTGGCATTGTCACTGAAGGTGGGTAGTGTTAGTCTTGAGATTTTGTTCTTATTCTTCAATATTTGTTTGCTATATATTGTATTGATCTTTTGCCTCTCTGTATAAACTTTCAAATTGGCTTGTGAATCTCATAAAATAACTGCCAGGATTTTGACTGGGATTGCATTGAATTTATAGATTAAGTTGGGAAGAACTGCAACTTGACAATATTGACTCTTCCTAACCACGAACATGGAATATCTCTCCATTGATTTTGTTCTTTGATTTCATTAATCAGTTTTGTCCATATAGATCAAGTATATATTTTGTTAGATTTATACCTAGTTATGTAAATAGCATTGTTTTTTTTTTATTTCAAATTCCACTTGTTCATTGCTAGAATATAGGAAAGTGACTTCTGTATATTAACCATATATTCTGAAACCTTGATATAATTGTTTATTAGTTCCAGGGGTTTTTCTTGTTGATTCTTTTGGATTTTCTACATAGACCTATCATGTCACCTATGAACAAAATTAATTTTATTTCTTTTTTCCAAATCTGCATATATAGGGTGTCTAAAAAAAGTGTATATACACATTTTGAATAATTATAAAGGCAGTGTTTATTAAAATGCATTTCATATTTAAAATTGAGCTATTAGCTGTGAATGTGTATACACATTTATTTTTTCTTGTCTTATTGCATTAGCTAGTACTTCTAATATGATGTTAAGAAGGATTGGTGAGAGGAGATATTTTTGCTCTTTCCTCAACTTAGTGAGAAAGCTTATTCAATCCTTATGCATACCTAAAAGTCCACTTGCCCCAAAATTGTTCTCAGGAGCGTATATTGATCTCTCCCTTTCCAAATCTGAGAGAACTCAGCACTCAATCTTGAATAGTTTTCTGATGCTGATTTTTGTCCCTCTGGATAGAAATGATATTCCTCAAGGGCAACAGCGCTGCCTTATACTTGTGAAGCCTCAAGAGCTGGGAAAGTAGTAGATACTAAAAAACACATGCTACTAGATAGATTTGATTTTATATTGACACGCCCACACACATATATATGATAGCAGGTTATGTAATAGACACATTGGTGCTCTATCATCATTGATTTACTTATTGAAGACAGCTGTTTATAGAATCAAAGTTAAATCACAGATGAATTAGGGTAATGTTTTGGAAATTATTAATATGTTTTTTTTCTTCTTCCATTTTCTTATTCATGATCTTCTCCTTAATCAGGCCAATGTCAGTGTGGTGTGGTTTGGAGTGGAAGGAGATTAGATTACTTCAGATATATGCTAGAGAAAGCTGGTTTAGTGGAGAGATGATGTTATCAATTGCTTTGACACATCAAGAGCCAAACACAGATTTCCCTGTGGTATAAAGAAGAGAGCTCTGGGCCATGGCAGTTGGTCTATAATCCTTGTTGCCCTATTTTAAAAGGAGTCTACAATTCAGAGAAGTAAAAATTCCTACACTCCATCCCTTTTAGCCTGGGATGATTTGCAGAAGAGAACAAAAGAGCACCGATTTGATTATGTCAGGCCTCAACTCTTTATTATACATCACTTCCCACTACTCCAACAGATGATGGTGGGCTTCAGATCTATCTGAATAGTATAAATCCCCACACGAAGAAGGGAGAGGAGAAGCCACATGCATCTGTCTTCAGAGGCAATATTCAAAATATTTACTAACCATCTTCATCTAGACCAATCAGAATCTAGACATAAAGTTAAGTGGTATCTTGAA